CCCCCCCCCCCGACAAGGGGGTACTGATCATTTTCACCAGAAGTAGCGCCAAAAGGACCACACAATCTTGCACCAGAAGTAGCACAAGTTTTACTCCATTTTCAATCCAGGTCCGTGCAGAGGGCCGGCATGCCAAAGCGGTTGTTTTTAATTGTACAAAGCACAAGGAGCAGCACAAAAAAATGCATCAGAAAAAACACAAAAAAGAGCACACCCCTTTGCATTCGAAGTAGCACAAAAGCGCACACAACATTTTCCACCAGAAGTAGCACAAAAAGGAGCAGAAAATTTTGCACCGGAATCACAAAAAAAGAGCACAATTTTTTGCACCTGAAGTTCACAAAAGGAGCACAACATTTCGCACCAGAAGTAGCATAAGGTTTGCTCCGATTTCCAAGACAAGAGCGCAATGAACATGTACTCAAATTGAAAGAAAGTTCAGGTGAGGCAGTGGTGAGAATTGAAACTTATACAAGAGTTGCCAGATCTGGACAGAGTTTGCCCCGCCAGCAGGGAGCTTCTCCAAAGCCGCACAGAAACGCCCCTCAACAAAGAGCTGTACTAGCGGCCCACCACTGTGTCCAAACTGCCCAAGCGCTGGATTCTCAAGTGGTCGTGCTGGGACAGCGGCAGCAGGCTAGGGATACCGCACCGAGTAGAGCCAAACTCAGGCAAATCATGGCAAACCTGATCATTAGGCATCCTGCCGAGATGAAGGAAATTGTTCTTCAGCCCTTCAGCCTTTTAACCTATGTGCTTCCTGCGTGCAGGCCTATGGATGCTATGGGTTGTTTGGGGATACCGCGCCAAGCAAAGCCAATTTCAAGAATATGAGAGGTGAGGATAGACGCCGAGACATAAAAGTTTAGTTGGAGTTCGTGTATCGTGCAATTCATTGTGCCCCTGGTTAAGCTCACTGTTATTGGGGCGGGGGCGGTTTGAAGTGTAAAGTTGTCAGTGAGGAAATGTTCGGGAAAGCGCCTTGTAGCTGTCCTTTCGATTTTCGAACCCCCAAGCCACAGGACCCCGATGTTTATGTGTTTCAGACCCTCATGAGACTCCTCAATGCTACAATCTTGAAGCTTTAAACACTCAATGCTGCGACTGCACCTTATGAACTCATTTAAGCACTGAAGCCGTAAAGGTACCATCCAGGCCGCTGAGACCTGGGAGGAGTTGCCTGGTATTGACAAAGTCGTCCGCAAGGCCCAGGGTTTCTGAGGTTTGGGGGTTTCAGGNNAGGGTCTATGTTTCTAAAATCCAGCCTGGATCACCCTGGCAAGGCGCAGAGCTTGAAGCAGGACAAGCCGCTGCGCAACTTGCAGGATCTCTTCTATGACTCCCAACCCGAGGAGCTGCCCTGGATACTTAGTTCTTCAGTTACCCAACCTTGTACCTTGTTGGGTTCGGGGTTTAAGTAGGGGTTTAGGCTTCCGTAGATTCGGGTTTGTTTCTTGGGTTCGGAATTAAGTTTGGTATGGTTCTGAAGGTTTTGCCCTGTACTTGCGTGTGTATCTGGGAATAAGGATCCGCACGGAATGCGTCATTGACACGGTGCAGGCTGCCGCCTACCTTGGTCAGGCTGTCGTTTTCCTCTACAAGGCGATTGACTACAATGGGCTTGAGTGCCCGAACAACTCGCCGGTTGGATGCACC